ATCCCCAGCCCTGAGGGGACACCAGGCCAAACCCCGTCCCTGAAGGGATAGATGCCTAGGTACCAATCCCAAGGGGACATCCAGCCACCCCCAGCCCCAAGGGGGACACTAGGCTGGACCCCAGCCCCAAGGGGACACTCAGATACCTCAGGCCCTAAGTGGACAACAGGCTGGACCCCAACCCAAGGGAACACCCAGGCACCCCAGGCCACAATGAGACACCAGCCTGGACCCCAACCCATAGAGGACGCTGGACCACCCCCTGCCCCTTTGATGCTGCCCTGCTCTCCCCACAGGAATCTCTCTGCCCCACAGGTGCTGGTCTTGCCCCCAGAGCCCCCATCTCAACCAGGGCATCTCTCTTGCTCCACACATGGGGGTATTTAAAGAAAATCCTTCCTGTTCATAGAGCTTCCAGTAGTTGCTGCTACCCAACTCTCACAGTGCATGTTATCTCCAGGGACTAAGGTGCTGGCACAAGGCTTCTGTCGCACTGGAAATATCAGATGTCCTCTTGTCAGAGGAGGATCTCTCACTCATTTAAGCAGTGCTGAGGAAGGAACAAGCTACTTGAGGGGCCTGCAGAGTTAAAACCACAGCAGGGTTCTCCACAAAACAAAGGTCTGTGCAGGCATGCATGGCTGTGCTTCACAGCCCATTGTTTTGAGACAGTTTGTGTGTCTGTAACCTGGGTTAAAGAAAACCCAGAAAGGTTAACTCAAAAATTATATTTAATCCCACTCATTTCAGTGATTTGGTGTACAGTGCAGACACACAATCAGAAGCAATAGCACTACTGAAGGGATGGCAAGCCCAATCAGAAGGGCAGAAAGGGACAGCTGGTAGCATGGAGGGAGGGACTAGAAAGGGGAATAAGGATAAAGAATCTGTTGACATTTTGTGCATTGCTTTTAGTCAACCCCCTGAAATCGATGGCAGCAGGAATCACCTCAATAATTTGATCCTGCAAACACTTAGTAAAATCTTACCAAGGCCCAATTTCAGATCCCACACCAAATATTGAGGGAGCTCTGGCTACATCTTGCACTATTTGTCCTCTGTTGACCAGAGGGGTTTAAGTGACTGTTCAAAACAAGATATTCCAATATAGTTGTTCTATTTGCAAAAGCGATAAATGTCCACTCAGAAATACAGTAGCCAATTGGATCTATGCAGATTCCAATTTGCCAGATCTTTAGCAGCAATCCCTCTGGGTATCTCACCAACATAGCAGAAACTTCACTCCAGTGTAAAGCCCAGCAGAATGTGGGGAACCAGCCAAAACTTGCATTCCTGTTGCCAGTCTCCAATGAAGAAATGCTCCCTATTCAACAACAAAAACAACAACAACACTACAAATTCTCGAATAAGAAAATGAGAAGAGTTAACTCTGAAGGAGTTGTACTAAGTTAACTTTGTCAAAGAAATGAGGGCAAATATGATCTGTTGTCTTATTTAAGCTGTGCAGAGTTTATTTCAAGCTTGCCTTCAGCATGGTATCAGAAGTATGGTCCGTAATATGGAACAAACCAAAAAAGGTTTCACAAAAAGAACAAGCAATTGCATTCAAGGAAATCAGATTGAAGTACGCTCTTCATTGGCATGAAGGGCAACCACATAAGCAGAAAAGAAGAATATTGAGAAAAATATGAGAAAGGCTGCTTTCAAAGAAGAAGGTGGAGAAGCTGTGCAATGCATAGTCAAGAAGAAAGAAAGGGAGAGCAGGATGGGGTGAATAAGGGAGGAGCAGGAGTGATGCAGGCTAACATTGGGCACTGCTCTCAAAAGATGCAGCATGCGCCTTCTCCTCCTTGAGTCCATTCCCCTGCTCTCAAAAGATGCAGCATGTTCCAGCAGAGAAAAGTGTGCAGAACTGTGCTCCATTTGGCAAGCCTTCCAGTAGTTCTCCATCCCCCTCAGACCTGCGCATACAGCTCAGATACATTTGGTACTGCCTGGATCAGAGAGTACTACAGGAACAGCAACTCTTTCACGTAACTTGCCCATGAACTTCCTCATCAGTGTGCCAAGGGGCTGAAAGCAGGACAAAGCTTTGGCTGCTGCTTTCCGGAACTAGTGTGACAGGCAGGCAAAAGGAAGCCACAGAGAGACCATGATGCTCACAAAGCCTCCAGCAGGAGAAGTTTTAGAGGGTTCAAAAAGAGCATTCAAACAAAAATCTCCCACAGCCTGAAATTCAGCTCACAGTAATTGAACACTAACTGCAGGACTTCAAGAGAAAAATCCTTGCCTCTAGTTAGCATTGCACTGAATATAGCAGAGACCCGAGTAGTATTTACAAGACTGAGATATGTGGTTTCACAGCCTTTACTGCTTTAAAAGCAGTAGGTGAAAGGGCTTTTAGTTGCAAACACCATTTGAAAACAGAAAAATGTAGCAGCCTTTAGGCTTAATTCTGATACCCTGTCATTGGATGGGATCTTGCTCTCAGAATTCTTCTTGGTAGTAAGCTTCAAATCACTTTACAAAGGAAGACAAATCTTTGTTATGAGGAGACTTAGGCACAGAGTGGTGAGACCAAGTAGACCTGAGAGTTCAATCAAGTCTCTTTTATCCTAATGCCTTTCATGGGTTACCAGCCCCTACTGCTCCCATTTGCTGCTGTTTGTGCTGTTTTCCACCCTAATAACCACAAAGATTTAAAAACATTTCAGGAGCTACAACCAGTGAGTTTGAGAAAAGCTTTTGACCTTTGTTTCCATTCCATAGATCACTACACTAAAGCCTGAGGGTTTTCCGATACTCCCAATATCACATAAAATGTGGCAGAGATGGGAGGAGAGGGCACGATGCCGCAACAGAACCAAGCCCACCCAATAGCTTGCTGCCACTGACAGGTCCCATCCCTGCCAGCCTGCCCTGGATTTCCTGTCGCTTCCCAGCCACTGGCTCTGGAGGTTACCAGAGCCCTCCCTCAACTGACTGAATTGGCAGAAAACTAACTCGGTGAAGAAAGCAGGATGTTTTCGGTTGAGTTATTGACCTGAATAGGTGCAATGAAGTGTCCAGTGAGCACCAGAGCCTGCACCAAAGGCTGGGCCAGTTATGCCTAGGGTGAGAACAGTGATGGCTGAGACGCTAACAACTATTCTTTTCAGAGGCAGCAAGTTTGTAGATGAGCTTAGCGGCACTATCAAGCCGCATGCTGAGCCTTGCGATCTTCGCTCCCGTACCAGAATGAAGAGAAACTAGTGTAAATGTTAATTTTGAGTGATATGAGCACTCAAAAGTAGGACACTGCCAGAGACCACTTAAAGGCTGACGTATCATTTGGGTTAGTCGACAGGGACCAGAAGTCCTTTGGTGAAGGAGAAATTCCAGGACCATAGGGCTACACGGAAAAACTGGAAAGACTTTACAGCCTGGCTCATTACCACAAAATTGTGTTTTTTGACATCTGTCATCTGCTGCTGTTATCTCTGGACAGGAATGTTCTGGGACAACAAGGCTTTGCAGGTAGCAGTTGATTAATTTAGTTACAGATACAAATATTTTTCATCTCAAATTCAAATGCTTACCAATCACAAGATTACAAATGTATCTGACTACATAAAAGCAGTTTGACCAGATAACTGCTAGGTAAAGACAAAATCTTTCTTTTTTTTTTTTTTTTTTTTTATTATTATAGTGTGGCAGATTCTTTGCAACACCCAGAGACACAAAATTTGAACAAAATTATGACAGTAAGAACTCTAATACTTCACAGTGAGAAACATAACCCAAACAACTGATCCTCAGACATGCTAGGATATAGCCAGAAAAAAAAAAGAAAAAAAAAAAAAGAGAATAGAAAAAAAAAATCCTCTACCTAGGCTTTTGAAGATCACATTTAAGAAACAAGCAGTTCAAATCTTACCTCTGTGTGATGCTTGACTTGAAAAGATGCCTAAAAGAGGTCTTGTACAATAACGTTATGCACTGGAAGGTTCCCACAGGATTCAAATAGGAAGAGTTATTACTGGCATTCAGTGAACAACACTCTTTACCTTCTGTTTTCCTTCCAGTCAGTACCTCCACAGCCACTGCCTGCCCACTGTTGCCTTAGGAGTATCCTTCACTCAGTTCCCAGTGGAGCATCTGATATTTTTCCAAGAAAAGCTTTTGAGACTCTGAACGAGCAGTTCTTTCAGTACAATCTCTGCGCCCAGCAACTTTCTACATAAGAGCACTCATTATGAATTTTGAGTCAGTGGGGTTTTCTTAGTCAGCGTGTGATCAGGCTTTCTTGCCCTAGAATTGGTATTTCCCTTACAGGGGGCATAAAGCCCTAAGCACATCCAAATACTGTGCAGGCTAATGACTACAACAGCAACACTAAAACAAAATCACATTAAAAATTTTATTGATAATTGGCAACTCTGTAATCCTCTCCTTTAGCTGCCATCTCATTAACATATTTGTTCAAAAGCCTTTTTTTCTGCTTCATTACATAATTCGTGTTACAGTATCTCCCCCCAAAAAACACCAATTATTTCAGGTCTAGATGGGTTATTGGACTTCTTTTGTCTTCTCCTTTTATTTTTCCCAGAGGAAAAATGGTGTACAGAGGAGGCTTTTAAGGTTGGAGAATAAACCACACTAAATTGACAGCCAAATTCTGAGTAACGCCTGGGATATCAGTAGTATATGACATTACAATACATGATACAAATATTACTGAATAATTTTTCCTAATAGCTCTGCAAAGTGGAACTAATATTATCATCCCCATTCTACAGACTGAGGGCAGTCCATCTCTTGTATCTCATTATATCCCACCTTACCTGATCTGTTACTTCAAATAAGAGTTTATCACTTTGCAATGCTGTAAAAGATTTGTTTTAGTAGCAGGTATGGGAATTTCTAGGCCTTCCATCTGAAATCCTGATTATACAGATATTGGCATTGAAACAAAGACCTGAAATTCAGTTCCTGTTTGTCCCTAACTTGCATTTGTTTGCAAGCTTTAAAAATAAATAAATAAAATATAGCCCCTCATATGCCTGAGCTATAAAGCCAGTATCAGACACCATCCCTCTCCCACGTCCAAGGGGAACTTGCAGTCTGGACCTCTATCTTACTCTGCACTGGGCTGAGGGATCTGGCCTGAGAACCACTGACAGGCAGGGCCTGCTGCAGCCATGGCCTCTGATAGCAAGGCAGTCAGTCCCATCCACGGCCAGATCTGTCCAGGGAGAAAGGGCAAAGCTAGCACAGGCTGGAGGTTTCACCTTGCTCATACCATCCTGAAGGGGTATAGGGGTCACTGGGGGAAGAGTGAGGTCCAGGTGTCCCCTGGGGCAAGCCTGGGCAGCCACTTAGTGGGGCACAGGGAGGCAAGGGCAGAGGAGGAACACTGGTAAGGAGCTGGTTCCCTCTCCACCATAGGTGGCTTTCCTCATGACATGGGCATTGCCCTCAGCAGGGCAGGCCAGCATCACCCCAAGGAAGCCAAGATGCCATGGCAGAGTTGGGAGGCCAGACACCAGGGTAACAGTGGCAGCGGAGGTGGCACCAGCCACACAACCAAGGTCCTGCAGCCAGGACTTGCATGGGCGGCTGAGCTAACAATGGCTGTGGTGACACCGCGAGCGGCGGGGCTGCCACAGGCCGAGCCGCCAGCACGGCTGCTGCCTGCGGGCCTCGCTCACCACTGCGCCCGCCACAGGCAGCTTCAATCCTGGGTGTCCTTTATGGTGTGCCCTCTTCTCTCACGCTCTCCTCCGCTCTGCTGGAATACGATGCCACGGTTATGAGTAAAGTGTTAGCACAGGTGAGTTCACAGCAGCACCCAGCCACCGTCCCCAGGGTCTGAGGGGTGCTGGTGCTGACTGTTCTGCTGCCAGGGCACGGTGCTGGCAGGAAGGGGTCAGGAGGCTGCCCACAGCCTCTGAGGATCTGTGGGAAAGAGGGGGTCCCCTCACTGCAAATACCCCAGAGCTGCGGGGCTGCGCGTGGGGCTCATGTTCCCTCCGGAGCCTGTGGGCAGAGGGAGGACGCGCCCCACATGCTCGAGGCTGATGCGCCCCATCTGCTGTGGGAGACACTGTTGTCTGACCAAGAAGCCTCCTGCTCTAGCAGGAGAGGGGAAACATCTTCCCCTGGGGGCAGTTCCAGGGGACAAAACTGCCTTTCTGTTAAAAAAAAAAAAAAAAAATCAGTTACTGTAATTAAATTTATCTAGCAAAGAAGGAAAGAGACACCCTAAAGGCCTCCTGGGGACTAATGAACCTGCATGGGGCTGTGACTCTTAGTAGAAACAAATATTTGTCTGTCAGTGCTGATATTTCTCTTTAAAATTTTTTTGGCTTTGCAGTTGGCTGATTGCCAGAGACATTTTCAGTTTCCTTTTTTCCTCTTAGTTCTTAAAGAAACAAACCTGAGAAGGATAAAGAGAAAAAAATGACAGAAGAGAACAAGTTCTGCAAAAATTGGTATGAGATCTCTGTCTCCATTCCTATGGATTGTAATAGTCAAGAGTTTGCTAAGATTTAATATTAATATCCTTAATATTATATATGATGCTCTTAGAGAGAGGGAGAGGAGACAAGGGGGGCATGTGCCAGAGGAGATGTGTTAGGCTAGCTAATGAATACTAAGCAACAAAAGTTGTAGTTATTTTCACATTTGAAGGATGCTGTTTTCTTGTTGTTTCCTGGGGAGGGGTTCTTGCTCCTTCCATAGCCTTCTCCCATGTTAGACGGGGGGAAAGTCCTTGTTCTCTTTCTGCGTAAGGTCACTGGGAATAATTTCTTAGAGCATGGCAGAGGAGTCAGTGGACAGACAGTGCTAATCCTTGCAGCCGCCTCAATCTTCCATGGCTAATGTTCCTTTCTGTTGTTGTGCCTGCAGCTAAGTGACAAAAACTTAACAGCAAACTTTCATCTACAAGCTATCCCCAAAATACAAAAATTTCAGTGTAATTGTTCATCTTAGAAGAAAAGTCTAAAATGGGCTGTGAGAGGTCACCTAGCCTTGTTTTAGTTAGCAGCTTGTAGGCCACTAGGCTAATTGTAGGAAGGAAGACTGTGAAATACAGCAATTATAAACAGATCCAGACATATCAAGGTCAAAAAAAGCAAGGAAGGAAATAATCTGAATTAAATCAAATCAATAAATAAAGCTTAACCTGAATTTCATTTGATCAGAAAGCCACCACTCCACCTTGCTCAAAGAGGGCCTGCGGATTTCTAAAAGATTATAGGGGATCTTTTAATTAAAAGAGTTTCTGAACACTGATAAGATTCCCAGGAAGAACCTACTACCTACTTGTTTAGTTTGATGTTTCTCTAATGAGTTTTTAAAAACGCTCTGGTAACTCAGATTACATATCTCCACAAGAAATCCATTGCAGTGCTCATCCATGATCACCATGAGGAGATTCTCGTAGTGTCTAAAGTAGATTTCTTTGCTGCAACCTCCTCTGAGAAAATTCATTTATTGCTTACCTCCCTCTCCAGGGCTTTCTTGCTGTGTCTGCTCTGTTTTGGGGCTGGGCTGTTTCTAAGCACATGGCGTCTTTCTGAACCCACTGAGCATGGTGACAACATCTCTGTGCCTCTCAGCTCAGGCACAGAGCAGTGTTCATGTGAGTGGAGCAGGTCCTTGGCTGGGCTACCTTACGACTGCCCCACTGCGAGACAAAATGCTGTGAATCTTGGGGTGGTTCATATGACACCCAAAAATGTCTCATTTTATAGAAAGGTATATTGCTTTTCTGTGGTGGTAAACAAGATAAACAGCTCTAACTCTTCCTGAAACAAAAGTTATACCAAGAGCTTTTAATCACTACCCCTTCCCTCTCAGAAGCGTCCCCAGTAATATGGCAGAATCTCCATAACAGAGCCCAGTCTTTTACTTGACTCAGAAGGATGAAGGAGAACTACAAATATACATTCACAGTTTTAGGGACAAACCATCTGAGTTCATTCACTCCTTTCTATTTCTGTACTCGGCAGTAAACGAGATGTGTCCACTGCCAATTTCTCCCTCCACGAGGCCCACTGCCTGCGGTTTCTCATTCTCTGTCCAGAATGTGATGAACCAGTTGCCCAAAAGAATATGAAAGACCATCAAACAGAAGCACACAAGCAGGTGAGGTACACTCCATTTTTATCAGATTTTTCTTGCAAATACCAAAAAACTCTGCCAGCTCTGAAGTACTTTCCTGGTTCCTTAGTGCTTTAAGTATATTTGAACTCCTGTAATTCTTTAGCCAGAAAATGTGGTATTAATTTGATGTCTGAATACAGAGGCATACATTTTTATTCTATTAGTTTCCTTGATTTAGCAATTCCTTTGATTTCACTCAGAACACATGAATAGGTCTCTTGGCAAACCTCAAGTAAACTAGCAAGCCTTCTATATTGTTGCAGGACCTATTTAGACTAATTTAGACTGAATATCAGCCCTGTACCTTCAAGTTAAACTTCAGGCAAAATTTTGAATATGTTTTATATTTCACACTGGGACCTTTCAGAACTGGATGCCTGCATAGAATGACAGCTTCCTGCAGGCTCATCAGATAAAATTTTTTTTCAAGATCTCAACAACATGACTCAGATGTGATAAACACATTCACCAAAACTTTGTCAGTGACTGTGATGAAAATAATCGTGAGCTCATCACAGCAGCTTGAGCTGATATTGCTGTATGAAAGCACTAACCACCCTGCTGTGCTCCAAATGAACCGCTATATGCTACACTTGCAGGTCAGATGCAATCTTTGTCACCAGAGTATGCAGCAGTACCTGCTGGAGTATCATGAGGTAAGTACAGAGTATGATCTTTGTCATCCTCTAGGTTGACCCCGTTGTCTAGCCACCAAGAGTCACACAAACATGAGCAACAACAGAAATAAATACCTCTCTCCCGTTCTGGACCATCACCAGATAAACTCCCCAACAGTGGCATTTTTCTAGCATTTGCCTAATCTCCTACAAATAACTATATGCTGTGGTGGTTTTCCATGCAGCCTACTATGATATTTTATTTTAAAAAAATAATCTATTACTTTCTCATCCTTAGCACCTCAGGCTGCTTGCAAACTTCCCAAAGACATTTCTACCCCACATCTGCATTACCTGCTTTTTCAAAGAGGAGGTTGGGCAAAGTGAGAGACCTTCCTCACACAGGAGCCTGGCACAGGAGCTATCAAGGCTGTGCCAGCAGCAAGGCAGTTGAGGAAGAGACACCCAAAAGAACTGGCTGCAGCTGAGGAGCAAGAGCAGCCTGCCCCCTCTGGCTTTATTCCAACCATTTCGGGTGAGCCAAAGCAGTGACCACAACAAGCTTCACCTGCTTCTGGTAGTTAAGTATTGGGATGTTGTAGGCTTGTGCTCTGTTGCTGACCTATATATACGCAACAAATCTTCACTGGTGTTGATTCCCCTTTTGCCTTATATTGCCCACGTTCTCCTAACTTAAAGCTAGCCTAGATAGGCCAATTCCATGCCTCTATTTGATTGTGCAGATACTTTCCTAAACAGCAGATACTTTCTTAAGCAGTCACTAATTTCTCTAGCTTAGTCTTTTACTATTGATGGA